TAAATATAAATGGATATTATTAATCAAGAATACAATTAATCATTTTCAATTGTACAAGTAAATCTTTAGGCATCACAACAATAATGTTAAGTATGAGTAAGAGTATTAATTTTATGATTTTTCTAAAAATTTTACCAGTATTTTTAAATTATTAGGATGAAAAATTTAATATTAAATGAAATTAAAATTAAATGAAAATAGTCATTTGTAAAAGTTGGGTAAATGACTTTGGACAATAAAAAAAAAAAGCCAATGTCAATCAAAAATATATTGGCCAATAACCACTTTGGTAAAGTAATATCATGCATCTATCTAAAAAAAAAAAACAAGATAGAATTATATAAGCTTATTTCTCAGTAGAAATTGAGTCTTAAGTTGATGATGATAATAATAATAATAATAATAAACACACATTTACACTTTTCTAAAGCACCATAAAGTGCCATTTCATTCTTTCTTAGCACAAATCTGCCAAACCATACACACAGGATTGTGGAATATAATAGGCATAATTTTCATAAATAAATATTATCAATTAAAATACACTAAAAATAAAATAATAAAAATTAAAATGAATAATTTTAAATGGTACAAGTAAATACATGCATCACAACATTTTTCTAAAGACTTGCTAAAAATTACAACATTTTGCTAAAGAAAATTTAGAAAAAAACACAATTAAAAAAGCCAATATTGCTCAAAAGTATTTGCCAATAACTACTATGGTACAGTGATGTCATTAATTCCTAATCTAAAACAAATTCAAGCCAGATTTAGAGATAACCAAGCTTATTTCTCAGTACACTCTCTGAGAGAGACGCACAAAAAAAGGTACCACTGGGATAGTACCCTTTTAAAAAAGGTACACCTCTGAATCTTATTTACCCCTAAAGAGTGCATTTTAGTACCTTAAAGGTACACCTTTGTACCTAAATTGTACATATTAGTACGTTTAGAAAGGGTACCACCCCAGTAACAGCTTAGGTAAAAAATTTTTGAGAGTGTAGCAATGGAGTCATACGTTGTTAAATCAAAAAAATAATGTAATTAAACTCCTTCAGCTGCTATTTTATTTTTTCTACCAAACTGCCGAACTGCACAAACAGGGTATGGAATATCATAGGCAGTGAAAGATCTATACTGCCTTGAGAAACCAACAACACGAAGGCATCTTAGTAGACAGGATGTAACGCTTCCCTATCTACCACCATATACCACCTGTGAAGGCAGCACTTCTCAGCTTTCGGACGCAGTCAATGGATCGTCCCTTGAATCTTGATAAAGAAACAGGTGTGAGTCTACATGTCTAGGCCGGCACACAAGGAGATGTGGGCTAGGACAGCACTGACAGGGATTCACAAGAGTTACACTTTGAGTTAACTTTAGCCTAAAGCAAAATTGTTCAAGTCACAGGAAAAGCAGCACTAGCATGCAGAACAGATCGCTCACTGTTTATGCAGTTCAGTCTTCTCTATGTGTGCCAGCACCTCCTCAGGATGGCATCCTCATCTTGTCCTTGATTTATGATGCATGAAATCCACTGTCAGAATGAACACAACATAATCAGCCTCAGGCCATGTTAAATACTCTGATGATGTACAAAACAGAATATTGGCACAGTTGCTCTCATTTTAAAAGTATTTGGAGAAAAGTGCACTTATGTGGCATTATAACTCATAAAATCACTTTAAACTAAACTGCCGCAAAGTGCTTGTTTTCAACTTTTATGCACAAAAGATCAATTTGTAATTGGATTTAGCTTTATGCAGTAAAAGGTTATTTCAGGTAGATGTCCTCAAGTTCCTTTTTTTTTTTCTTTTTTTTGGGGGAAGAAAATTGCCCCTGCCAGCAAATAAATTGACCAATTATAGACAATGAGCCCTGAGTATTCTTACAAAAATAAACAAGGTCGAGAAGCTGAATTATACATTGTTTCTACTCTCAGTTTCAGCTTTCAAAAGCAATGCACTGGTCAGGAGTGTAGGTGCACGCTTGAGGTTAATCAAATTGCAGCAAATGTGTATTCTCACAAGCCTTAAAGTGAACACATTCATGCCAGTGTTTACAAAATCAGCATTAGTGTAGCGGTCTGAATAATCCATTTCCTTCAGTTTGAATCAAAGGCCAGGACAACCACTTAAAAGAACCATTACAGTGCCTTGCGAAAAAAAAAAAAAATATATATATATATTTCACATTTTATGTTGCAGCCTTATGTTAAATTGCTTTAACTTACTTTTTTCCCACATCAACAACTTTGCAAATTTATTAAAAATAAAAAACTGAAATCAGTACATTAAATATTCATACCCTTAACTCGGTACTTGAAGCACCTTTACAGCCTCAAGTCCTTTGGGATATGATGTGACAAGCTTTGCACATCAGCATTTGGCAATTATCTGCCATTCTTCTCCTCATCTCTTCACCTCTCAAGCTCTGTCAGGTTGGATGGGGGCAGACGCACGTTTTCAGGTTTCTCCAGAAACATTTGATTAGGTTCAAGCCCAGGCTCTTACTGGGCCACTCAAGGACGTTCACAGAGTTGTCCATAGCCACTCTTGCTGTGTGCTGAGGGTCATTGTCCTGTTGGAAGGTGAACCTTCTGCCCAGTCTGAGGTTCTGAATACTCTTGACTACGTTTTCATTAAGGCTATCTCAATATTTTGGTGTGCTGAGCTTTCCTTCTACTCTTACGAGTCCCTCAGTCCCTGCGGCTGAAAAACACCATCAAAGCACGAGGCTGCTACCCACACATTTTACTACGGACGCTCCTGTGCAGGTGATGAGCAGTGCCTGGTTTCCTCCATGCTTGGAGCTGAGGTTCATCAGACCAGATAATCTTGTTTCTCACAGACTGAGAGTCCTTTAGGTGCTTTTTCAAAAATTCCAAGTGGGTTTTCATAAGTCTTCACTGAGTGAGGAGAGGACTGAATCTGGCCACAACACCATAAAGCCCAGATCGGTGAAGTGTTGCAGTGATGTTTGTCCTTCTGTAAGTTTCTCCTATCTCCATATAAGAGTATGGAGCTCAATTAGAGTGACCATCAGCTTCTTGGTCACCACTCTAACCAAAACCCTTCTCCATAATTTGCTCAGTTTGGCCATGAGGCCAGCTCTAGGAAGCGTCCTAGTTGTTCCAAACTTCTTCCATTATGGATAATGGAGGCTACATGCTCAATTTGTTTTTGAACTCTTTCCCAGATCTGTGCCTTGATGCAATCACAGGCTGTTCTTTTGACCTCAGGGCTTGGTTTTTGCTCTGATATGCATTTTCATAGATGTGTACCTTTTATTGAGACTTGCGTGCCTTTCCAAATCAATATCTACAAGCTATTTTTTATAAATTAAATAAAGTTTTTTTGTTTTTTTTTGTAGATGTGAAAAAAGAAATTTACAGCAGTTTAACATAAGGCAGCAATATAAAAAAAAATACTGTGTGTGCAGGCAGGCGATAGATAGATAGATAGATAGATAGATAGATAGATGATAGACAGACAGACAGACAGATAGATAGATAGATAGACAGACAGATAGATAGACAGATCACTAGATAGATAGACAGACAGACAGATCACTAGATAGACAGACAGACAGACAGATCGCTAGATAGATAGATAGACAGACAGATAGATAGACAGATCACTAGATAGATAGACAGACAGACAGATCACTAGATAGACAGACAGACAGACAGATCGCTAGATAGATAGATAGACAGACAGATAGATAGACAGATCACTAGATAGATAGACAGACAGACAGATCACTAGATAGACAGACAGACAGACAGATCGCTAGATAGATAGATAGACAGACAGATAGATAGACAGATCACTAGATAGATAGACAGACAGACAGATCACTAGATAGACAGACAGACAGACAGATCGCTAGATAGATAGATAGACAGACAGATAGATAGACAGATCACTAGATAGATAGACAGACAGACAGATCACTAGATAGACAGACAGACAGACAGATCGCTAGATAGATAGATAGACAGACAGATAGATAGACAGATCACTAGATAGATAGACAGACAGACAGATCACTAGATAGACAGACAGACAGACAGATCGCTAGATAGATAGATAGACAGACAGATAGATAGACAGATCACTAGATAGATAGACAGACAGACAGATAGATAGATAGATAGATAGATAGATAGAGATTTTTATAGATTTGTATATAGATAGATTCATTTTGACATCAAAGTTCAATGGTTTTTATCTTTATTACTCTGAAAATTACATTCTCCTAAGAAAACTGCTAGATATAAACGGAACTGCAAGATACCAACTTAGAACTGACTTTTTTTTTGCAATTACAAATTTATATCTAACAATTATGACTTTTTTTCCACTCACAATTGTGAGCTAATATTTCGCAATTCTGAGTATATATTAACATACATATATATATATATATATCTGAATTGTGAAATAAAAGTGACAATTTTGACAAGTGACTTTTTTTGTGGCAGAAACGGGCTTTCATTCAGGTACAGAATTTATTATAAAATAGATTTCCAGGGTTTATAGATAGATAGATATAGATTTCCAGGGTTTAATCTAAAGGAAAGAGCGCTGCCTGGGAAAGCAAACTACAATCAAACTCTGAGGATGTCTGTAATCAGTTAAAGGCACCATATCAAATCTGTTTTTCCTTTGGCATGGTTATTTCAGAGTCATTAAAACAATGTCTGTTTTGTTGTCATAAAATTATCACCAGAAATGTTAAATCTGGGAACGCATACTGTTTGACCAGGAAAAACAATTTTAACCACAGGGGAAAATACAAAGGACAATCTAATAAAAGACAGATATCACTGAGTGCAGCACAGTCCTTGACTAAAGGAAGATTGGTAAAGCAAGAAAGAACAAGATGGAGGGCTTTACCTGACACCACAGGAAACCAGCTGCTGGTTTGGACACCACAGTCATCCCCTGGTGATTCTCATAGTGTAGATGTTTATTTTTTTTTCCTTCAGTAGCTGCTCCTGTGAAACCGTTGGCCTAAATCCCAGCAAAATTTTCAATAAATTCAAAAAAGTATATTTATGCAGTTAGTTCTTCCAGCTGCACACAACATAAAATACTTAAGGACAATTAATAAGCACACTAAACAAATCAGAAGATAAACAGGCCTCCTACAGATTTACAGAGTTATTGAGGTTGAGGAACGAGCTTTTATCTTCTGTGATATCATTTCCTTGCTTACTTTTATCTCATTACTACTGCAACAACCAAACTATAATAACAATCTAGTCTATATGTGAGGCTTCTAATGCAAAAAAGGTACACATTACATATTACCACAGTAACCTTTTTATAGCTTGACTTTATTGTACATTTGCATATCTGTAGACTAGGCTGTAAAAACACTAGTCATCTCTCTGTGGTACATGTGTCCTGCTCCACTAAGAAGTTTGATTCTGGCAAAGTACATGTTGTAACGAAACCAAGGCCAGATGCTAGTGTCATATTAGCGAGCAAAGAGAACAAACTATAAAGGGCAGAGAGTCTGTGTAGCCGCACAGACATCCAAATGAATACTGTAACTACGGCATGGGTTTCCAACTTATTTAGGCCAAGGACCCCCTATTACATACTGTATGGAAATTAATTTAACATTTCACTTCTGGCCTATATAATAACATAACAGCACTAATCTTTCTAGAAATTGTGGAATTTACATACCTTGTTATGAGACGTACACCCCAAAGCCAGTACAATTGTCAAATTATTGATATACAGTCATTTATTATACTAAGTGAAATTTTATTGTAATTAACATTAATTAGAATAATAAGTGATTACGTTAATGTAATTTACTTAACACATCAAGATTTTCTTTAAGATTTTTTTTTATTTATTCAGCAAGGATGCATTAAAGTGAATAGAATAGAATAGAATAGAATAGAATAGGATGATTTCTGAAGGATCATGTGACACTGAAAATTAAAGTAATGGCTGCTGAAAAATGTCATCACAGGAATACAATTTTATTTTAAAATGCATTAAAACAGAAAACACTTATTTTAAATTGTAATAATATTTCACTCTTTTTTGTTCTGTTTTGTTTTGACTATATGTTCGGTCAAATAAATGCATCCCTGGTGAGTATGTAATAGACTTCCTTAAAAACATAATACGGTATTATGTGAAATTATTATATTAACTGAAAAAGTTAAATGATTATATTAGTATTATATACGTTTATTCATTTATTATATTAAAATTACATTATATTAAGTCAAACGTGGGATTTGAACCTACGCCTCCTTTCTGAGACAAAATTTGATTAAGATGCTAGAGGGAGAATTAAATATTTACCCAATTTCAGTTTCAGCAGAAGTTAAACGATTACATTTTGTTTAACCTTAAATAAATAAATAAATAAATAGTTCAAACAATAACTGGCGGATCCCCTGCAGCACCACTGTCAGCATTATTATCATAAAAGTACCCTTATAAAAGATTAAAAGAAGAAGAAATAAGAGTTGATTTTCTTTACACAAAAATATACTTTAATTTTTATGACTTAGAAATGCTTAGTATAGGCTATATGCTTACGAATGTGGTTGAAGAATGCTTTTAAGTACAGTGGATTCAATCCAATCAGCTCAATAAAGAAGGTATAAACAGAGGAGACGCAACTTTGGGCCAAAGCTTCTCCTCAAAAAATACAGTAAGTGAGACAGGGCTTAGAGTCAGCATGAACAGCCCTGTGGGTTCCATGAATTGCTGCAATTTTTGGCTGACACACTGAGAAATCAAAGCTTGGCATGGTTTTGTTGGACTGCATTGAACAAGTACAGAAGCTGCTTTCCTTCCTACAGGTTTCAGAATCCCTCAATGAACATTGTCTGCATTTGTCATACCAACAAAGCCTTCATGATGAGAAAACAAAATAAAACTAAAATTATCTAAAGCCATGCTAATTTTTATGTGGCTATGTTATATAAATTTGTACAACACCGCTTTGTAATTTAGGTCAAGGTGGGGCTACATGAATTGTGCCACAGATCTGTGTGCCTTCAATTTAGTTCTGTTACATGAGAGCACAAAAGAACTGCACAAGCAGCTTTACAAAAATACATATGGTTTAAGTGCAATTTATGAATATTCCTTAGAATATTGAGGGATTTGACATTGCATCACTCCCTCACCAATGGATCCTCTGCAGTCAGAATGAGAGTCCAAACAGCTCATAAAAACATCACAATAATCACAAATAATATTTTGGCCAAGATATTTTCAACTATTTGAAAATCTAATTTCTGAGGATGCAAAAAATCTAAATATTGAGAAAATCGCCTTTAACGCTGTCCAAATGAAGTTCTTAGCAATGCATATTACTTATCAAAAACTACGTTTTGATATATTAACGGTAGTAAATTTACAAAATATCTTCATGGAACATGATCTTTACTTAATATCCTAAAAGAAAAATCGATAATTTTGACCCACACAATGTATTTTTGGCTATTGCTACAAATATACTCGTGCTACTGTTACACTACATAAGACTGGTTTTGTGGTCCAGGGTCACATATGTGACAAGATTTGACATAAACTGATTAAATCATTGAAACTGTGAGTTTTAGTAATGCAACTGTGGAAAATTCTGATCAAAACCACTAGATTGCAACACACATTTGGACAGCCGATGACGTTAGGCTCCATCTGGAAGCTCTTTTATTTCCTATTCCACACATGTAAGACATCAGTTCAACTTTATTACTCACCCTCAGATCCTCCGCTAGCACCCTATTTGTATGTTTGGTGGGGAGCGGCTGTTACATAATGAGTACAGAATTCCAGAAATTCTTGCTGGAGGAACAACTATATGATCCCTAAAGAGGTACAGAAGGAGGGAGTTGCAGCAAATGACGACAGAACTGACTCAATGCACGCAAACAGCTGATCCATCTGCAGTGCTGGACACATAGATGCACATAGATTACTGAACCTTCAGGCTGTCATTTCCTTTAAACAGAGGAGTATCAGAGGCCTGGACTGTCTCACTCCGCTCATGGGAAACTCGGGATAGGAAATGATCTAAACCGCCATCAGCAAGACAAAAAGCATCAGGCCAATACTAGTCTGATCATCTCAGAGCGTCGCTCAGGACATTATCTCATCGTCTCTCTGAAAGTGAGAAACTGTGAAGAGATTGACAATGCATTTGATCTGGAACGGCCTGATTAATGGTTATAATTAACAGCATGTTTATTTTCATAAAGAAAGAAAGAAAGAAAGAAAGAAAACTTTAAGCAACTCTTGCAAAACTGTTTGATGCAGAAGCCAAATGAAAGTACTGACATCTAGTGGCAAAAAAAGTGCATAAATAGCCTTGCTATGAGACAAATTTATAACCAATGAAAGTGACCTATCTACTTTGCACATATATGAATTACAAACATTTATAAAATATAAATATTTTATACACATTATTTATTAAACTCAAAATAACTTAAATAATTGCCCATATTCAGTGCTAAATGCTGAATATGAGCACATGATTTAGCTGTTTTTTTTTTTT